CATTCCAAGCTTCCAACTGCATTGCTCTCCAGTGTGTTTTTGTTACTGTTACAATCAGGTTATTGGTTGATTTACCAGCTACTTCTCTGTTTCAGAAACTGCCCCTATCCTGTGTTTAGACCTTTGGTGAAGTTCTGTAGGACTTGTTTCAGGGCCTAGAGAGCATTTCTTATTTGAGGTACTCCTTTGTTTTTCAGGACTCTTAATTTTCAAGTTCCTAGAAACTGGTAAGGGGTTTACTGGAGCTGCATAACACTAAACACACGACGCTTTCAGTAACTGAACTAATGATTCATTCTTATGAAAACACAGGTCTCCAGAAACTATTCTAGACTGTAACTTTTGAGCAAGCAGGTAAGCCTTTGGGGCTTTCAAACAGCGCTTATCTGTGTCCAAGGACAGGGAAATAGACTTGCTTGCTCATGTGTGGAAAATGACATTTTCACAGAAACAGAATGTGGTAAGGAGCTACATCCTTCTGCACTTGAATCCACAGACAGAGGGAGGTGGCAATCGCAGTCCATCCTCAAATGAAGAGGCTAGGATTCCAAAATGTCTGGTTTAGAGCTGATCACCCCAATAAACCCATCCCCACAAAAGCAAATCAATAATGCAGAGAATAATTTCTTTGAAAATATTATGAAAAGAAGTCTCTAGGCACTAAATAAGTTAAAACTGCTACTTTGAAGTAAACAGAATTATAACAAGCATAATCAACAGTGAAGAAAATGTGCAAGCCGATGATTTCAAGATCTGACTTGACTCAATTGCTCCCCCTAGTGCACTGAGTTCTTACCATCAACATATTTCAAATTAGCAAAGAAATAGAAGGCTCTAACCTAATTGCAATGTATTGTTTTGTTAGATAATTTTAAATCAACAATTTAGAATAGGGGAGAATGGAAATCTTCTGTTTCTTGAGAACTTTCTGACGAGTATTAACGGCCCACATCATATATATGGACAAGAAAAACAGTAGCATCCCTCTAATGTAAATACACAAGGTAAAAGATTATTCCTCTAAACCTTACTTTAAATCGATTGTGTTTTATGCATATATAACACAACTATCTGGCAAACCACCTTTAAGATATGTTTCAGAGGTTAAACATGGAATCAGATAAAATATTCAAGTAAAGTTCAAGAACACAGTTAGGAAAGATTTCTCATCTTTCAAATTGAGGCTTGTGACTTGCTGATCTATTGAGATGGACAGGATGGAAATGTTTTCTTTACTATTTTTGCATTGCTCCAAAGGTGGCTTCATTATTACCTTTGTATTTTCTACACATTTACAAATACTAACTTCTATACATTCTTAGGAGAAATCTGGTTATATTTGACTAGCAAATGGACTGCAGGCAGGGCTGGAGTGTGAGGAAGAGCAGAAGGGGCCAGCTGCCCCCAGTCAATGCCTGTGCATGAGCTTTGCTTTACCAGCCACGAACTGAATTTCTTAGCTTCGCTTTCTGTGATTTAGTGGTTTATCCTTAGTTCTAATTTCAATACTTCTAAACCTCCCAAAATGTTCAGCTGTCAAAAAGTTCCAAAACAAGCAAATGTGTTCCTGGAATCTTACCCTTTACTCAGTATATACTGAGCCTTCTTCTCTAGCCAAAATAATAAAAGATCTTTTAAGTGGCTGAAATTCTTGGTTGATTGCACATACAGGCCAATGTCAGACAACTATAAATAGAGAGATTTATAAGAGAAATAGGGAGAGTCTTCATAACTCCTATGAAATAAAATACAATGTTTTGAAGGCAGTTAGAACAGTACATATTTTTATAAAATTAAGAATTATCTCCACTTAGCCCTAAATCCCCTTAATGGAGGAAAAGCTACATGGATCATGAACTTCCAATATAAAGGAACAAAAGGGCCTTCTTTCCTTTAGTGATGATAGTTTATTATTTTCAATCCTGTAATGTGGATTTTTCTTTATATTATGCTTTTCAGTTTGGATATCTGCTACATTTTTTTGCTATCTTCCCCCATCACTGCTTTGTTTTACTAGAATTAAAAAAAAAATCTTTCAAAAGATAGAATTGGGCCCATGGTTACTGATACAAATGAAATCAGTAGGGAGCTACAAGGGTGTGACCTAGGGCAGGTGTAGTTCCCAAATGAATCAAGTCCCTTGGGATGACTAGACTGAAGGCTGTCTTTCCTATACTCTTAGGCAGGGTAACACATCCAGTAGCTTTGACAGCTTGGATAATGCCTAGCTTTAAAGGCATTGTTACTTAATGGTGAACAGTAAATTATTTTTAAATTAACTCACCATCTTGTATTAACTTTGTAAACTGAATTATTACAAATTATCTTAAATCTGTTACCACAGTACAAGAGAATTCTGCAATTGCTTCACTTGAGTTACTGTGCTAAGAACAAGCAAACTCATATCAGCAATAAAGAAAAGCAGCACTAGGAGTCTTTTAATGAAGTTCTTCCAGAGCCATGGAGTGAGTAGTATAATCAATCAGATAATTAATGTTTCCAGATTCCTAGTTCTCTATAAATTTCATTGGGTTTAAACTGGCTAAAGGCTATAGTTTGGCTCTAAAGATGTAGTACTTACCACTGGTAAATCAGAAAGTAATATCTTCATAATATTTTTAGTAACGATTTTAACATTTGGTATTTCTGAAATAAACCTTAAGGCAAGAAAAATGAGAATTATGTGGCTTTAAAATGCCATAATGCCGAACAAGCTATGTTCATAACCTAAAAATCTTACCTCTACTTTAATAATTTTCCTAAAACGTAATAAAAGCAAGATAAGGGTAGGGCTCAGTTTATTAGGTAACTGTTAATTCTAATGATGTATTCCCCAGAGTCATACATAGCCTCTATATTAGACACACTGTGAGATTTTCCTGTTACTTCAAATACAGGGGTTAGAAATTCAACTGTTTTTATTGCTTTTTTTGAGTTACTACAAGATAGTAATGTGTTTAATTATGGTTGGATCCACATATGCTATATTACCTGGTATTCAGAAAGTTAGGCCAGTGGTCAGAACAGGAGAGGTTAAAGGTGAGGAGCAACCACAGAATGCAGCCTGTGGAGGGCATGCCTCCTGCAGGAGACTCTGGAGGTTGGGAACTGACTATTGCCTCTTCAAATGGCAGAAGTAACTAGCATATGATCCAGCTACACAGCTCCTGGGAATATACACAATGGAATCTAAGTCAGCAGGCTACAGAGAGACATGTTCATCCAGGGTTAGTGTGGCACTGTTCAGAACAGCCAACTTAGGAGAATCACCTAAGTGTCCATCAACACATAAGAAAATGTGGTACAGATATACAATGGAGCTTTAAAGTTACATAAAGAAGAGTACAATGATGCCTTTTGTAGAAAAGGATAGAGCTGGAGATCATCAAACTAAACAAAACAAGCTGGACTCAGAAAGAGAAATATGGCACGATTTCTCTCATATACAGAACTGAGATTTTACACATACATACACACAACATGACCGTAGAAAGGCAACTACTTGGGAAGAAGAAAAGATTACTGGGAGGTGGGTGGGGCAGAGGGTAGAAGGGGACAACGCAAGTGAATATGGTAAAGGTCATGATGCACTTAAATGAAAACATCTCTATGAAATCTATTGCTTTGTACAATGAATATACACTAATAATAAAACAGAGCTCCATGAACTATTTGGTTTTTTTTAAAGCTTTGTGGTAGGCAAAAATGATTATACCACTTTTTTTCCCTAAATACATTAAATATATTACTAATTTTAAAAATGGTCAAACCCTTCAAATTACTTCAGAATGTAACATACTAATTGCAGGTGTGCCTCACAATTAGCTGTTCACCATCTCTACTGACAGCACTGATTAAAAGTGGTCTTTGTTGTTGTTTGTTTTTAGAGACAGGACTGTCCCAGAGCCCCAACTGGCTTGGAACTTGCTATGCAGACCAGTCTGGCCTCGATCTCACAGAAATCCACCTACCTCTACCTCCCAAGTCCTGGGATTAAAGGCATGCACCACCACATCCAGCATTAAAAGCATTACTGTAAATTTTTTTTTCTTATTTTTTATTGTCATAATTTACAGTGCCTCAAATTAAAAATGTCCTAACAATACAAAGTGAGATTATATAAATTCCCCTTAGACAAAATGTTATGATGAATAATAATTCATCAAAGAAGCTCTAGTTATCTTTTCTGTAGCAGGGTTCTTTAAACCTGATACCCACAGCCAGAGCAAATGATGGACTTACTTTGGGTTCCAGCTTCCAGTGAATTGCTAACAGGCTGAACTACGGTAAAAGGCTCCCGGTGACCTACAGAATCCAGGTCTTTCTACTTTGTAAATGTTTGTGTGTGGGGGTGTGTGAACCACCTCATGCATGTGCGGATCAGAGGAAAACTTTGTGGAGTCAGTTCTCTCTTTCCATCTTTACACAGGCTCTGGACACTGAACTTAGGTTGCCAGGCTGGTGTAGCAACCTGTCAAGCCATTGTGACCTCCTTCATATCCATAAATAAAACCATTTTTAAAAGAGCAGATGAAATGAAAGTAAAAAAGTACATATACTTCAAGCGATATGTCTACCTAGTTTCCTAATAAAATTAACGAGAAAAAGTGTGTAAGCTGGAAAAAAAAAAACCAAAACATTTGTTTTATATAAGTTAGTGGGAGTCACCGATGCCACTTGCTAGAAGGTTAGTCACTATACTGTATCTTATAAGTGTTCTTCTGCCAACACTAAAGTATTTCTTGGAATTTGGTTACCAGATGGACCACAGTGGATTTTAGACTTACAGTCTTCACATTGCTACATTGCCCTAAGAACTCAAACCCACAGTGAATGCTGGCTCAGGCTGAACAGCAAAGCTGACAAACAGCGTTTATTGCAATTTAACAGCTAAATGAATGAATGGATAGCCTCATCCGTGAATGAAAACATGATGTGATAAACTCCAGTGAGCTGGAGAGAGAGACAGAAAGAGCAAGCAAACTTGGTTAAAGACTTACTTATTCCATGCTTGTCTAAGGTTTTTAGAGCTGTACAGGGTAAAGCGTTCTGAAATAAAAAAGAAAAACGATAAGCAATCTTTGTATCAAATGTACATATCATAAGCCTGTTGAAGAAAAAATATTTGAGACAGAGTCTCACTGTATACCCCTGGCCTGGAACTAAATCCAGCTGTTCTCAGGCTCACAGCAATCCCCCTCCCTCTGACTTCCAGGTACAGGGATTATAGCCATCCACCACCAAACTGAGCAAAACTAAACTTTTAACAGAGGCATTGATTTACCCATAGTTAGATGTGGGCATACAAAGAACATAACATTTAAAACAATGCAATATTATTATTTTTATTTAGGATGATTTCTTTCATATTTTAGTTTGTTTGGAAAAGCCAAATTGAATTGAACTGAAAAAATACAAATTACAATCTCCAAATTGTATGTAGCTAGCTTTTAGAATATTAGCACAACGTCAAGTGAAACTTGCTGATTGCTCTATGAAGTTATCTCTGACTAACTGTGTCTCCTGTCTTATATTTACACATGCTCAAAGTGAAACTACCCATGCCCTATGGTGTGTACATTTACCAATGAATAGTCTTTACTAGATTTTTAAATTAAAAAGGATATTTGCTTTACCAAGTTAAACAATAAATAAAATACATATTTGTAATCTCCACTACTCCCTGTTCTTTACTTGTGATAATATAGCAATTGTTAATGGCTTAATAGGTCCCTTTACATATACAAACATATATATACACATATATATACACAAAATCCATTTCTACAAATATATATGCCATTTTAACTTTTTAAATAGCTTGTATAGAAAATGCTACTCTGAAACATTTTTGGCATTTGATAATATGTAGCGAATAGTCCTTCAAGAAAATATATGTATAATTGTTTTAAAACTGCACAGCACTAGGTAAAATAAAGCTACCATAATGTATCTGCTGAGCCTTTAGGCAGTTTCCCTCGCAAACAACGCTTCAATCAATACTTTGGCACTTCTATCTTCTATATGATACTTCCATTTCGGTCAGGTACATTCCCCCATGTAAAGTGGCTCGGCACATGTGCGCAAGTCTTACATTAATAGAAGCTCAAGGATTACTTTTCGTTTTTCCACCAGGAGTGAAAAGAATGTCTCCTCACATGCTTTCTTGTACTGGTTGTTACCAGTATTTTACATTTGTGCCCAATCTCTGCTTGACAAATTTCACTTTGATAGCTGATACTGATTTTAATTTTGGGACATTGGTCCATTAACAATTCAGAGAAGTTTTGGAGGTATGTCACATTTTCTCATACACACAATGTACAAAATAATGGTGTTTTAGTCAATGATGGACTGAATACATGCATTCAATGGTGATCATGGAAGATTATAATGGAAATGAAATGTCATAGCAGTAATGTCAGAGTACAATGTATTACTCACGTGTCTGTGATGATACTGGTATACACAAACATACTGTGCTGTCAATGCATAAAACGTTGCTCATACACTATATAATACTGTGTTACTAGTTTACCTATTTACAAAACTATACTTTCAATTGTTACTTTAGAGTGTATGTTGTGCGTGTGTGTCTGTGCGTGCATGCACACGCGCATTTTATACCGTTTGCCTAAAAGGCACAAAGCCTTGAGTTCAATCCCCAGCACTATATACTCTGGGCATGGTAGCACATGCCTGAGACCCTACACTTGGAAGAAAGGTAGAACAGGAGGATAGTAGTTCAAAGTCATCCTGGGCTACTGAGTTTGGGGCCAGACCAGGATACCTGAAATCCTTATCACAAACAAACAAAACAAAACAAAAGAAAACAAAACAAGAAAGGGCTTTTAGAATAAAGATATAAAGATAAAATTATTTATTTATTTATTTATTTATTTATTTATTTATTTATTTTTATTTATTTGGAGACAGAGTCTTACTATGTAGCCCTACCAGGCTTTGAACTCACTATGTAGACCAGGCTGGCCTTGAACTCACAGAGATTCCCTTGCCTCTGCCTCCTGAGTCCTGGGATTAGAGGCATGTGCTACCATGCCTAGGTAAAGATAACATTTTTAATGTAACTATACAATGTATTTTTTGTTTTAAGTGTTACAGTAATCTTAAAGGTTTAAAAAATGTAAAAGTCTGTAAAGTCAAAAAGCTATAATAAGCTAAAGCTAAATTACAATTGAAGAGTAAAAACTAATTTTTACAAATTTCGTGTACAGTGCTGTGAAGGCCACAGCAGTGGGCATTCGTGCCATCAACCTTCACACTGCTCAGTGACTCTCTTGCCAGCTCCATTCATGGTAAGCTCTACACAGGTGTGCCACTTCTTATCCTATATTTTGGCTACATTTTTCTTTCCACACATACTGATTTGCACCGGTATTGTGATTCAGTCAGTTTCAGTGTTCAGTACAGTAACATGCTATACCAAGTGTTACCTAGCAGTCACAGGCTGTACCACAAGCCCAGGTGTAGCAGACTGGACAACCGAGGTTGTGTAAGGACATTCCATGATATCTGCACAACAACAACAAAATTACCTAACCAGTTCTCAAACTATATCACTGTGGTTAAGTAAGGGATGACTGTGTGTGTGCATTAATTTAAATTTTAGCATCTGTAACTAAAATTTTAATATTACATAGCACAGTTTTCAATTTGTTTGTTCTACTAGGACAAACAATTGTTACCAATGGTTCTCCAATAATTTGAAATTATACTTTTACTCTATATTAAGTTCTAAATACACCAGAGCCCAGATTTTCATGTTCATCTGTTTCTGCTAGTGCCATATTATTTTAACCAATGTAAGTAACTCTTGCTATCTTTTAAAAACATCCTTTCGTACTAGCAGCTATTGTATAAAACTGCTACTCACTTATATTGGTGTAAATAAAACTATTTATTCCATGATTTGCGGCTTCTGCCGCAGTCAAGTTCAGAAAGCCAGAAGAGAGTGAGGGTTCCAGAGCTTCAAGGAGGGGTGGGGAATGAGTGTTTAATGGGCACAGAATTCCTTTTGGGGATGATGAAAAGTTCTGGAAACGAAGAATGGTTATGATTGCACAGTATTGTGAATTATACCCTAGAAAGTGGTTCAAATGATTACCGTACACACATCTGGACATGATAATAAATAACAAAAATGCAAATAGAGCTTGAGTTAAAGTAAGACAATTTATCAAGACAAGCTTGAGCATTTCTTAATTCATCAGTTCCACATCAGTTCTATAATTTTATAGGTAAAACAATGGATGTTTCTTCCCTATGGTGCTTACATCCCATCTGGTTCAGGAGAGAGAAACAATAAAAATACACACACTCTTACTGTATCAACACCACCCACCCACAAAATGAATATGCTGGAATTATAAAACAGTGTTTGAAAAATATCATTCGTCAATATGGTTACCTAAACAAGACCTGTATAATGACAATACTAGTTGACATGCTGATGTGGAGAGGGGAAATTTCACAGAATCCTACCTTTTATTGAAGAGCTACAGGCAATCAATGGATGCTAAGGGAGGGAGAAAAGCTCCCTGATCGGTTACCCAAGTTCAAGTGGTTATCCCTAAATACATGTACACAAAAGCACCACTAAATGGACTCAGTGCATTATATATAAATACATATGTATGTATCTCTCTATATAAATGTATGTATATATAACAATCAAAGAAGAGGACAAGAAATTGAGAGTGAAGGGGGTGTGGGAGAAGTTGTGGAGGGGGAGGGAGAGGTGGGAATGATCTAAATGCAGTACTTGTTTATAAAATTCTCAAAAAATACTGTGGTGTTTGAGGAAAGTCAAACAAGGAGATACAGTACAGGGTGACCAGGAGGAAAACACTGTAGGCTGGGTAATGAAGGCAGGATAGTTAAAAGAAAAGTAAACTAACCAGGTTTGAAATCTGGCTGGAATTCTCTATATATTTATCTGAAAAGGATGATAGACATCTTTGTTTACTAGACCATATTTGTGTTTACATTCTTCAATAACATCATGTTTCCCTTTTCAAACTGATTGATTCCTTTTAATAATTTATGTTAACCGGCTTAATTTAGCTTAATATCAGTTGACATCCTTTGTCAGTATTGTCTGCTCTTAATTATAAGCTATTAATGTAAGAAATCTAAATGACTTATATTGCTTTTGTCACAGTATATTTCATGTTTAAGAATACCATCAGATTAGAACAATAACAAAGAAATGAAAACAGAGCTTCCTATCTCTAAGCCAAAGTTTACTGTAAAGAAGTGACTAGAAATACTGTGCAGCAATTCATTTGTTCACTCATTCATTCACTCAGCTACTATCTTTTGAGCAACAACAACTGTGAGCCAGGGAGAGTTCTTGGGATTGAAGATACAGGAGGGAACCAAACAGAAAGATTTCCCGAATGCTGGGAGGGTGTGGAACCTGGACAACTAGAGCAAAGAACATTAGAGAGGGGAAAACTGCAGATCTGATCTGTGCTTTTCCCTCCCTCCCTCCCTCCCTCCCTCCCTCCTAAGGATTACTCTAGCAATCTGATCTTTCTTTTATTTAGAGACTACATTACAGGGTCCAAGGCTGGAAGGAGGGAGATCAATGATCACAGCTAAGAGCAAGACCACATGACTTGGGCTATGGTAATGGAGTGAATGCAGTGACAACAGGGGTCAGAATCTGAAAATACTTGGGAGGGAAGGCCAGCAATGCTTAAGGATGCCTTACACAGGACACCACAGAAAAGCAGATGTCACGGTGACTGACAAAGCACTTACCAATCTTTCATTTCATGCACAACTTTTTTTTTTTTTATGTGTATGAGTGTTATGCCTGCGCTTAAGTAAGTGCACCCATGTTACGCACTGTCAGATCCCCTGTCAGATCCCCTGGAACTGGAGTTTCAGACAGCTGTTAGCTGCCATGTGGCTGCTGGGATTCGAACCTGGGTCTTCTACAAGAATAATCAATGTCCTTAACTGCTGAGCCATCTCTCCAGCCCTTTCATGCACAACTTAAGTAGTACTTTGAGAATAAATTA